AAAACAATTAATTAAGAGACATAATTAATTTTATAAAAATAAACAATTAATTAATTATCATGCATATTAGATAGGACATCCCATAAATATCAGTCAAATGCAAAATTTTTCAATTTTTTTTTTGAAAAATATTTTCAAAGAAAATTAAGAAGGCTCCACATAACATTAGAGATGTAAAGGACTTTAAATAAAAATGAAATATTCAAACTTAAAATTTTTTTAATATTTATTTAGTTATTATTATTAACTTATCTATAGATTCTTTTTAAAACATGATATGTAATCATATTATAGTGTTTTAAGGAAAAACCACAATCTATTTAAAAGTAATCTTTATATTTTTAAAGGCATGCTATTCATGCTCATGTCAAGGTGTTTGTTCATGCCAAGGTAGTTGCTCTAATCGAGCTACCACGGCTTCTGCAATCACCCTTTGTAGCTCAGCTTGCGTAAGGGTCATCGTCCGGTCCTCAGGTCGAGGTTGCTACACCTGGGATCCTTCTCCTTGTCTCTGCTTTCCTTCAATTTGCTTCTCGCTACCTCGAGTTACTTCCCTTGTTTCTTGTCCCCTAACTCTGAGTTTGGATGTAGCATCTGACTAGTCTCCCTCTTGGGTCAACACTTGCATTTTTATCACAGACGGGATAATAGGTGTCTCTTCTTCCACACGCATACCTGGTGGCGCGTGTTCTCCAAACGGTGGAAATCTCAACATTGAAATCACAGGTTTAGGGCTAAGAACCACTGAAGGTCTCCTATCCGTCCAGGCTCCTCTGAAATCCTCACATAAATTCCTCTGTATGTTTTATTTTTCTCAGCCATATCAGGTGATCGGAATATGGTGCGAATTCTTAATTCCTTCAAGAACTCCCAATAGACGGCGCCAATATGTTAAGTCCTCTCCTAGATCTGGATTGAACCGGTCATAATGAGCTTCGATCTTCCTGAACCGTCGGGAATAACCTGCAGAATTCAACGCCGAAGGGATTTCCGGCAAAGAGTTTTCGATGCTTAAGTCAGTATCAGAAAGATGATGAAAGCAGTGTATTATCTTAAAAATGCAAAGTTGGGATTTAGTGTTACCTTTTCTCCTTTTATAGGGAAAATATATGCCCGAGTGCCTGCGGGGAGTTTGCCTGGCTGCCCAGATTTCAGTACTTATTCATATCTTAATCACTTCTTAGTCAGATCATAGTCATCTTAAGATTCCATCTTATCCCTTCAAGATTTATCTTATCCCTTAAGCCTGCTAGATCTCGAGGCGTGATCTTCATTGAGGACACATACCTCGAATCACGAGGCAAGTAAGGCCGTCTTCGAGGTGACGAAGGTCGACTAAAGCCTTATCTCGAGATAACAAATTATTCAGTCTGCTTATTTGAGCTGAGCCGCTATGATTATATCGTCATCTTCCCAGTCAGTCTCTCAGCCGTCGTCGAGGTCCTAGAGTTACTCATTGTCCCTTTGCTGGTATGAAGCTGTTCTATGTTTAGTTCTTTCCAGGTCGTCATTCAATGGGTCGACATTGAGGGTCCTGAATCGTATGTGGTAGTCCTCGGGCTATTATAGTTCCTTCAGTGGTAGTCGTCACGTCCCTAGGATTTTATCTCGAGTCGACTAGGCTAGGTCGACTTGTAATCCGGTTGGACTCATAACACTTAGTCCGATTTCCGAAAGTATGACTATATTATACTTTTACGTCATATTTTAAATATTATTTAAATAGGAACTTTAAATTTCACTGAATACCCCATTATTATTTAAACAAAAATTTAATATTATTTAATTAATAAATCTAATCAAAACTAATTTCACTACATCCACGTCCACAGGTTATTGGAAAACGGCCCAAATCATGTGAGCTTGTTCGTCTCACTTCTCAGCCTTTGCTGCCACGTACATGCTACGTGTCGATATTTTGATGGGTGTTGAACAATATAATATAGCCGGTCAAACGATACGAAAATTTTCATACATATCCTAAATAATACCCCAAAGACCAAAAATAAATGTACATAAATTTAATTTTCCCGCGTATAATTTTCCACTTCAATGAAAATGGTTCTCATTCATTACCCTATATGAAGCGTGATGCTGGCCGTTAAATTACATAAACATATATATAAATATAAATTGCTATCTTTTCCGGTTTGTGGGTGTGGAATATATAAAATTGTCATCTTTTGATCCAACAGTAAAACTAAAATAAATAATGTATGCACTCTACACACCTTTAAATATAAGATCTACCGATGAGAGTTGACTTTGATGTGTTCTGAATCATCGGAATCTAACGCATACAACTCGACTTCTGTGGGAATAATTTATACCTTAACGATATATGAAACAAAAAATTAATACTCCTTTTTGTATTTTATAAATGTTGTTTTGACTTTATTGACAATTAGTTAAATAAATGACGTTTATTTAACATTTTTGTCTCCATCCATCTCTCTATACCTTTTTCATTAAAACAACATAATAAAACTAAAAAAAAAAAATTAATTAATGTTAATTTTCATTAAATAAAGTTAAAATTGACAAAAAAAAAATCTTTAATTCTTATGCTTTTACATAGAACGACGTTTATAAAAAACATGAGGGAGTATAATTTATATAATAAGGTCAAAAAAGTAATTTTGTTGTTAAAATTTTTTTCTCACATCCAAATTCCCCACTTTTGGAGAGAAGAATATTTTCCTTGTAGGAGGAATTTAAAGGAAAATCATAACCCCTTTCCCTCCAAAAAATTGAACCAAACACGACCTTAGTTTTGAATTCTCACCAGTTTCAGACAGCTATCTTATGATTTATGAATGGACTCGAGAAGAAAATCTTCAGAAGACTAATTCAGCCACAAGATGTTGAAATTTTCGTTGTTAGAATTGATGGACCTTTGACAAAATACATATTTAGCGTTTACTCTTTAAACGGGTCCAAACCGGTGTGATTGAATTTTCTTCATTCGCTCCATTATAATGCAATGAATTTCGCAACCTACACAATTATATACTCGTGAGTTCGTAGATTTGGACATGTCATGAAATTTGACCAAATATTATTCTTTACCGCGTTTTCCTTGATTCCATTTTATGGTCTCATTTCGGCAAATTCTAATCAAGGTTTTAACATACATGTATATTTTTATATTAAAATATTATACTTTAAAAAATAACATAAATAAAAGTATAACATTTCAAAATTATATATATTTTTGTTTAAAAAAAATATATGACGGATCAATTTGATTAAAATTATGAATTTGGTAGTCTTTAACGATGGATGGAGCTCGCTGGGTAGATGGTCATGGGCTGCCAGACCCAGTTCGCCCGACACGAACCCGACCCAGTCAGACCCGTGGTCAACGGGTTCAGGTTAGGCCCCGATTTTAATTGGGCCGGATTAGGATCGATCATTTTAAAGATTTCACTCGTTGGGCTGGCTAGTTTGGGCCGTCTCGTAACAAAAAAAAAAGGTTTTCATTTTTTCTTAGAACGGGCCCGAGATCTGGGTCGTACCCAACCCACCTGTTGGGTCTGGCCCGTACATAGGTGAGGGTCGGTTCAAGGCCATTGTTTTCGAGCCTGGCCTGGGATTCGGCCATGTCTATATCTAAGTCATAAATATATAGTTTGGCTAGCTCCCAAATGTTTGAGAGATGTCAAATGAAAATGAACATAAATACAAATTACATTGTAACTTATGAGAGGGCATCATGTCATGTTTTGTTTTGTTTTGTAACTAACTAATATATCATTTACCAAAAAACAAATGGGAGAAAAAGAAAAAGGCAAATATAAGGAACAATAATTTAAATTCCGCCCTAGCCCCTAGTACTACTCCTAAACTAACTAAAAAAGTAGTTATTGAATAATGAAAAAAATATATTTATTTCGTGTGTACATCTAACATGCATATCAATTATTCATGGGAACAATAATGTCTGGTAAGTGATTATTTGTTTGGCAATCATAGAAAACGCGAGAGCATAGAAGACCGACCATTATATATGTCTCATTTGATAGAAATCATGTGGGAATTGGTAATTTGATGAGCAGTTTCTTGATTGTTTAATAAACAATCTATGCTCCCATGATTTTAATTTTTATTTTCTATGATCATCGGTTTGTAATTCCGAAGTGTGGTAATATAATTTAATGTTTGGTAAAGAAAAAAAAGAAATGTCTACTTTACATAATAACATTTTGTTTTACATAATATTTTTTGAGATGACAGATTTTTTGTAGTATTTTTTATGGTTTCGCAGTTATTACTTCTTTCTTATTATCATGTTCGTATACCGGTTTATTGTGGCTTTAGCACTTTGGGTTTTTTTTATTATAATTTTACATATATAAAAATGCATAGCAATCTATCATTCAGTGATGAGTAACGATAAGGGCCACATAAACCAGATCATTACGCTATTAATCTATTCCGAACTGATTTTATAATGTGCATATATAAAAAGTTTAGCACAAACTGCGAATTGATAAAGGAGCCCATAGACAGGCCCAAGCCCACAAGAATCTTTTAGCAAATATGAATTGTCAATACATAAAATAAGTTTCTACTGTTTAAATAATTTCATCGAGAAACTGAAAATATCAATAGAAATTGTGTTTCAGGCTTTCAGCACTACTGGGGTGTAGTGAAGCAAGAAGAAGTGGTGAGAAAATTGTATAATAAACGTTTAATTTCATGCCATTGCATCTTATTATGGGAGCATTACAAATTTATGTAAAAAAAGAAAAAAGAAAAATCCTTAAAATGACATTTTTATTTTTACGAGACTTGTGTCTTTTTAAATCACACATATGAAAAAAAAAATTACCACCATCTATCATTTATAAATTTCGAACTCGAAAATCAATTAACACATCACAAAATCACACATAAAAGATTATTGTTTCGAAGACAACAAAAGCTTCACCACAACAACATAACACAACAGACTTACACTGTTACACACACACACACACACTTATTCCTCACCAAAATCACTCGTGACCATTCAAAGGCTCAAGTGCCTTAATAGGAACAATTCGACTGCAGCTATACACCTGGCAAAACGCCTGCAGACACATCAGCAACAACATCATCGCGGCCGCCACAAACGTCAGAATCTTCCACGAACCGAAAACATACCTCCTCACTAAGTTCCCAATTCTAACCTTCCACCTCCCATTATAATACCCATTCACCTCCCCAATCACCTTATCCAACAGGGGCACTTTCGTCAATCCTACCGACCGACTCATCCCGTTCCACATCTCCGCCACCTCTTTCTCTCCCTTCAGACGGTTCACAATAATCCCTGTACCGCAAAGCATCCTAACATCCTCCTCCGTGTCGACTATCCCGTTCATAAGCTCCGTAAAACGCGTCAAAACAAGCGGGCCCCGCGCACACGCCTCGTAGGCGACCAAGTTCCTTAAAACAACCTCGGAATTCACGTCCAGCTCGATTACCGGAATGTAGAAAGCTTTCGTTGTCGAGTCGAAGCTAATTCCCATTATGCCCTTGTCCGTCGGCACGAACTGTACACCGATTCCAAAAAGTTGCGACACGGATGGAATCGTGATCTCTTCCAACACCGGCGGCTTGTCTGAGCTCGATTTCTCGTCTTCTTTCTTTTCTTTGTCTTTAGTGAAAGCTCCGAACGCGCTTTCAATAGGGCCTTTCAACGTCTTCACGATCGGGATTTTGGTGAGGATTGTCCAAGGCAATTTGACGACAACTTTCAACGGCTTCGAGACGAGTATTCTCTTGATCCAATCCAACGCCGGCCCTGCTTTTAAGGAGGATAGGAAATTCCATATCACGTCGATAATCTTGCTTACGTGGCCGGGCTCCGAAAACGAGTCCGTTTTCGAAAAATTCCCATCTTCGCAAATCTCGATTATTTCATCGGGTCGACCCGCCTCGAATTCGGGCACGATAATCGACCGGTACAAAAAGTCTAGCAAGTGCGCGCACTCTTTGACCTCGATTTTTCGCGTGCCGTCCGTTTTGAACGGCAAGATCTCGTTCCCGAGCCCGATTAACATGTCGAGAAGCAATTGATCCGCGATATCTAAGGACGAGAATCGGAACTCCAAAAGCATTCGCATCACGAACAACGGGATTTGGTTCTCGAGCATCACGATATCTCTGAGAATGGCGGCGTTCGCGTTTTTGTTGGTCGATAAATCGGTCAAACGAGAAAGGGTCGATTGGTTTTTGGTCAGGACTTTGCCCATTTTCAATCCGCAGACCTGAAAGAACTCGAGAAGGAAACACGCGTCCACGGCCATCATCCAGGCTAGGGCCTCGGCCCCGAAGCCCACGGGCCTGTGGTATCCGGCCCGAATCCGGAGGTCGAATTTGACGAGATGTTCGACTATGTCCTGGAGCTTTGAGTCCTGGAGCTCTTTTTGGGTTCTTTTGGCGGCGGCCACTTTGTACCTCTCCATGTCGTAGACTTCGGCCCGAAAATGGTGGTACGGGCCGATCGCGATTTCCTGTGGGATATAAGATTCCGGGCTGCACGTTATCATGGCTTTTGGGTCGCCGAATATTGTGATTGGGATTTCGGTTTCTTCCTCTAGCTCGTCGTCAAGGTGTTTGCGGATCTGGTGGACCCATTTGTGCTCGTCGAAGTTTGGGCCGAAGCCCGAACCAATGTTCATTTTGAAGAAAGACATGGGCTGGGCTGGAAGTTTAGATTGTGAAGTGTTTGGAATAGCAAATATGAAGTTTTAGTGAGAGGCAGAGGCTTATGATTTTTTTTTTTTGAGTGGTGACAGGTTACGCAATTGGGCGCCATTTAAACCTTATCACTTAATTAGTGTTACATAGTGAATGCGAATTGTTTGAGTTTGTAATTCAATGAGCATGTGTTTCATGCAATATATACGATGTGAATGTGACCAATCAGGAATTTATTTGGGGGTGGTAAGAGTAAGATAGCTTTTGTTGTGGTGGGTTCACACTTCACACATATGATAGATTGTGATTTGCTTATTGAAGCTTTTAATGTACATCAATATTGTATATTCAAATACAATTTACAGATGCAGATAAATTTATTGAAGTTATGGGAATGTTTAATTTATTGTGAAAATAGTATTCCTCAAATGTATTAAGTTTTTTCACATTGGCCGTTGATAAGTTAATTTTTTTACATAGAAAGTGATAAAACATTGTGCGATGAATATGCGACAATTACGCGATGGATATACGACAGTTATGCGGTCCATTCACACTTTTTGGAGTGAAAAAGTTAAAATGCTAAGAAATTGTGTGATGAATATTCGACAGCTATGCGATACATCCGCATAACCTTCGTACTTCTGCGGTGAAAAAGTTGAATTATCGGACGGTGTGAGAAATTTAATTTATCTTTATAGTGAGGTGAAATTAGAAAGATGATCTTTCATATTTACTACTCCCTCCTATTTTTAATATTTGTCATTCTAGCATAATTGATCATTTGTTAAATAAATGTCGTTTTGACTATTTTGTTCATATTTTTCCTTTTTAACCCCTCCATCAATACCCATTGTCTCTTCATATTCCCAAGAACATCCATCCACAATTGTGTCATTAAATAGGGTTAAACTTGGAAAAAAAAATATTTCTTAATTAGTGTGTTGATAGCTAGAATGACAAATATTTAAAATAGGAGGGAGTAATACTTAAGAGATATGAAAAACCAATTTCCAAAACATATATGAGGCGACCTATCCGTTAGGTGGGTTAACCCCATCACATTTTGTAACAAAATGCATACTTATGTTACGAAGTTTATACTTATGTAACAAAAATGCATACTAATGTAACAAAACTTGTAAATTAGATAATGAAAAAAATCGCATTTTAAAATTTTGATAATGAGTAAATGAACAGTATTGAAGTGAATAAGATTTCACTTGAGCTCCTTCGACTCGGACGGCCTCCGTACCTGCAAGAACCCAACACCGGGAGGGGTCCCGACGTCGGGCCTCCGACGCTCAAGTCAGTATCATTCCAAATCCCAAGAGTATAATTATGAATGTAGAGAGAGTGAGTCAATGGGATACCTTAGTCCCCTTTTATAGGGGGAGTGTACCTTGTGGCCCAAGTTACGCTTGTCCAATAACATCGTGCCACGTGTCCTAGCCATGTGTAGGCATATTCTTCAATATATTCCCCTCTTATCCATTAGGATTGGTCTACTATATAATATCCTATATCATCTAGTCCCCCCCACTCTGGTCGAGTCTGAATGACTCGATCTAAGAGTGAAATTCCTCCTCGAGCTGTTTCCGTCAACCTGCCACTGAGGTTGTAATTTGAATAAATCATCGACCACCAGATAGTCACCAAATCTCCAAATGAGCATCGGGACCCCAAATGAACACCGTGAAGTGCTCCGAGTGAACTCCCTCGACCTACCCGCTACGGCGGCTCTGAAGCAAGGCATGTGACCGGGGCCATCTCCGACGGTTTTGTATGTGGGCAACTCCCAGCCCGATCTCTGGCAGAGTTCCTGCAACTTTGATTTGTACATTTTTCTCTATGTTGTTCCAGTGGGGGTGACGTTTGTTTGAGGGGAAATTGGGGTTTTACTGTGCTTAAATGGAAAGAGGGTTTTGCGGAGAGACGGGGATTACAAACTTGCGAATTGCAAGGCACGCCTTCTGCACTCCAGTTAATATCCATCATCAGCTTCGGCTACCCCTCATTACTCAACCTCGATTTACTCAAAATCCCCAAGAGGATGCTCGCTCATAAATATATTTCCCCTTTTAATGACTCAGCACAAAAAAAAGTTAAGTTCATATAAGCAGAAATCTATGAGTATTTCCCCTTTTCTTTAGGTGATCTAACCATTAAGCCAATTTTTATTTATTTATTTATTTTTTATAAATATACATATTTTCACTAAACATATATTATACTTTAAAAAAACGATATAAATCAAAGTCTAACATTACATAATATAATTCCATATTTTTTATTAAAAAGAAAAATGACGGGTCAACCGTAACAGTTAAATTTTCTCGTACTAGAACCTATGAATAATAATTGTAATATAATATGCAGTTGCTAGAAATGATGCATTTTTTTTATAAGATTACAAATCATATAGAGAAAAAAAACATTGTGACAAAACAATAACACTAACCCTCCTGGGTTAGTGAAAAAAAAACATTGTGACAAAACATTGTGACAAAATTTTGATAATGAGTAAATGAACAGTATTGAAGTGAATAAGATTTCACTTGAGCTCCTTCGACTCGGACGGCCTCCGTACCTGCAAGAACCCAACACCGGGAGGGGTCCCGACGTCGGGCCTCCGACGCTCAAGTCAGTATCACTCCAAATCCCAAGAGTATAATTATGAATGTAGAGAGAGTGAGTCAATGGGATACCTTAGCCCCTTTTATAGGGGGAGTGTACCTTGTGGCCCAAGTTGGGCTTGTCCAATAACATCGTGCCACGTGTCCTAGCCATGTGTAGGCATATTCTTCAATATATTCCCCTCTTATCCATTAGGATTGGTCAAGTATATAATATCCTATATCATCTAGTCCCCCCCACTCTGGTCGAGTCTGAATGACTCGATCTAAGAGTGAAATTCCTCCTCGAGCTGTTTCCGTCAACCTGCCACTGAGGTTGTAATTTGAATAAATCATCGACCACCAAATAGTCACCAAATCTCCAAATGAGCATCGGGACCCCAAATGAACACTGAATGACCACTAAGGTAAAAAACCGGAAGACCCGCCACTGGGGTCGAACACCGAAAGCTGATCGACCACTGAGGTCGAAAATCGAGAGACCCGCCACTGAGGTCGAACACCGAAAGCTGATTGACCACTGAGGTCGAAAACCGAGTGACCCGCGACTGGGGTCGAATACCGAGAGACCCACCGCTGGGGTCGAACACCGTAAGCTGATCGACCACTGAGGTCGAAAATCAAGAGACCCGCCACTGGGGTCGAACACCGAAAACCGAAGTCTTGAATTTAAAAATTTGAACTTACGTCTTGTTGTTTTTCTATCACCATGTTCGAGCTCTCTTCATTTAAAACTAAACCTTTCCTACCACCTCCTCCTATCATTTCGCCCCCTCAGTTCAAAATTTGAAATTCAACCCTGCTGTTTATCCTTTCGAAAACCGAATGTCCTGACACCACACCGAAATTGAAAGCCGAATTTCGACAAAACCAAATAAGGTCATCAACCTGAATAACTTGACTCCGTGAACTGCTCCGAGTGAACTCCCTCGACCTACCCGCTACGGCGGCTCTGAAGCAAGGCATGTGACCGGGGCCATCTCCGACGGTTTTGTATGTGGGCAACTCCCAGCCCGATCTCTGGCAGAGTTCCTGCAACTTTGATTTGTACATTTTTCTCTATGTTGTTCCAGTGGGGGTGACGTTTGTTTGAGGGGAAATTGGGGTTTGACTGTGCTTAAATGGAAAGAGGGTTTTGCGGAGACACGGTGATTACAAACTTGCGAATTGCAAGGCACGCCTTCTGCACTCCAGTTAATATCCATCATCAGCTTCGGCTACCCCTCATTACCCAACCTCGATTTATTACAAATCCCCAAGAGGATGCTCGCTCATAAATATATTTTCCCTTTTAATGACTCAGCACAAAAAAAAGTTATAGTTCATATAAGCAGAAATCTATGAGTATTTCCCCTTTTCTTTAGGTGATCTAACCATTAAGCCAATTTTTATTTATTTATTTATTTTTTATAAATATACATATTTTCACTAAACATATATTATACTTTAAAAAACGATATAAATCAAAGTCTAACATTACATAATATAGTTCCATATTTTTTATTAAAAAGAAAAATGACGGGTCAACCGTAACAGTTAGGTTTTCTCGTACTAGAACCTATGAATAATAATTGTAATGTAATATGCAGTTGCTAGAAATGATGCATTTTTTTTTATAACATTACAAATTATATAGAGAAAAAAAAAAAACATTGTGACAAAACAATATCACTAACCCAGGATTGGTTAGTGAAAAAAAAAACATTGTGACAAAACATTGTGACAAAACATTGGTGGGATACCTTAGCCCCCTTTTATAGGGGGAGTGTACCTTGTGGCCCAAGTTGGGCTTGTCCAATAACATCGTGCCACATGTCCTAGCCATGTGTAGGCATATTCTTCAATATATTCCCCTCTTATCCATTAGGATTGGTCTAGTATATAATATCCTATATCATCTAGTCCCCCCCACTCTGGTCGAGTCTGAATGACTCGATCTAAGAGTGAAATTCCTCCTCGAGCTGTTTCCGTCAACCTGCCACTGAGGTTGTAATTTGAATAAATCATCGACCACCAAATAGTCACCAAATCTCCAAATGAGCATCGGGACCCCAAATGAACTCCGTGAAGTGCTCCGAGTGAACTCTCTCGACCTACCCGCTACGGCGGCTCTGAAGCAAGGCATGTGACCGGGGCCATCTCCGACGGTTTTGTATGTGGGCAACTCCCAGCCCGATCTCTGGCAGAGTTCCTGCAACTTTGATTTGTACATTTTTCTCTATGTTGTTCCAGTGGGGGTGACGTTTGTTTGAGGGGAAATTGGGGTTTGACTGTGCTTAAATGGAAAGAGGGTTTTGCAGAGACACGATGATTACAAACTTGCGAATTGCAAGGCACGCCTTCTGCACTCCAGTTAATATCCATCATCAGCTTCGGCAACCCCTCATTACCCAACCTCGATTTACTCAAAATCCCCAAGAGGATGCTCGCTCATAAATATATTTCCCCTTTTAATGACTCAGCACAAAAAAAAAAGTTATAGTTCATATAAGCAGAAATCTATGAGTATTTCCCCTTTTCTTTAGGTGATCTAACCATTAAGCCAATTTTTATTTATTTATTTATTTTTTATAAATATACATATTTTCACTAAACATATATTATACTTTAAAAAAACGATATAAATCAAAGTCTAACATTACATAATATAATTCCATATTTTTTATTAAAAAGAAAAATGACGGGTCAACTGTAACAGTTAGGTTTTCTCGTACTAGAACCTATGAATAATAATTGTAATATAATATGCAGTTGCTAGAAATGATGCATTTTTTTTATAACATTACAAATCATATAGAGAAAAAAATAACATTGTGACAAAACAATATCACTAACCCCTCCTGGGTTAGTGAAAAAAAAACATTGTGACAAAAAATTGTGACAAAACATTGGTGGGATACCTTAGCCCCCTTTTATAGGGGGAGTGTACCTTGTGGCCCAAGTTGGGCTTGTCCAATAACATCGTGCCACGTGTCCTAGCCATGTGTAGGCATATTCTTCAATATATTCCCCTCTTATCCATTAGGATTGGTCTAGTATATAATATCCTATATCATCTAGTCCCCCCCACTCTGGTCGAGTCTGAATGACTCGATCTAAGAGTGAAATTCCTCCTCGAGCTGTTTTCGTCAACCTGCACTGAGGTTGTAATTTGAATAAATCATCGACCATCAAATAGTCACCAAATCTCCAAATGAGCATCGGGACCCCAAATGAACTCCGTGAACTGCTCCGAGTGAACTCTCTCGACCTACCCGCTACGGCGGCTCTGAAGCAAGGCATGTGACCGGGGCCATCTCCGACGGTTTTTTATGTGGGCAACTCCCAGCCCGATCTCTGGCAGAGTTCCTGCAACTTTGATTTGTACATTTTTCTCTATGTTGTTCCAGTGGGGGTGAAGTTTGTTTGAGGGGAAATTGGGGTTTGACTGTGCTTAAATGGAAAGAGGGTTTTGCGGAGACACGGTGATTACAAACTTGCGAATTGCAAGGCACGCCTTCCGCACTCCAGTTAATATCCATCATCAGCTTCGGCTACCCCTCATTACCCAACCTCGATTTACTCAAAATCCCCAAGAGGATGCTCCCTCATAAATATATTTCCCCTTTTAATGACTCAGCACAAAAAAAAGTTATAGTTCATATAAGCAGAAATCTATGAGTATTTCCCCTTTTCTTTAGGTGATCTAACCATTAAGCCAATTTTTATTTATTTATTTATTTTTTATAAATATACATATTTTCACTAAACATATATTATAATTTAAAAAAACGATATAAATCAAAGTCTAACATTACATAATATAATTCCATATTTTTTATTAAAAAGAAAAATGACGGGTCAACCGTAACAGTTAAATTTTCTCGTACTAGAACCTATGAATAATAATTGTAATATAATATGCAGTTGCTAGAAATGATGCATTTTTTTTATAACATTACAAATCATATAGAGAAAAAAAAAACATTGTGACAAAACAATATCACTAACCCTCCTGGGTTAGTGAAAAAAAAACATTGTGACAAAACATTGTGACAAAATTTTGATAATGAGTAAATGAACAGTATTGAAGTGAATAAGATTTCACTTGAGCTCCTTCGACTCGGACGGCCTCCGTACCTGCAAGAACCCAACACCGGGAGGGGTCCCGACGTCGGGCTTCCGACGCTCAAGTCAGTATCACTCCAAATCCCAAGAGTATAATTATGAATGTAGAGAGAGTGAGTCAATGGGATACTTTAGCCCCTTTTATAGGGGGAGTGTACCTTGTGGCCCAAGTTGGGCTTGTCCAATAACATCGTGCCACGTGTCCTAGCCATGTGTAGGCATATTCTTCAATATATTCCCCTCTTATCCATTAGGATTGGTCAAGTATATAATATCCTATATCATCTAGTCCCCCCAACTCTGGTCGAGTCTGAATGACTCGATCTAAGAGTGAAATTCCTCCTCGAGATGTTTCCGTCAACCTGCCACTGAGGTTGTAATTTGAATAAATCATCGACCACCAAATAGTCACCAAATCTCCAAATGAGCATCGGGACCCCAAATGAACACCGAATGACCACTAAGGTAAAAAACCGGAAGACCCGCCACTGGGGTCGAACACCGAAAGCTGATCGACCACTGAGGTCGAAAATCGAGAGACCCGCCACTGGGGTCGAACACCGAAAGCTGATCGACCACTAAGTCGAAAACCGAGTGACCGGCAACTGGGGTCGAATACCGAGAGACCCACCGCTGGGGTCGAACACCGAAAGCTGGTCGACCACTGAGGTCGAAAACCGAGTGACCCGCTACTGGGGTCAAATACCGAGAGACCCACCGCAGGGGTCGAACACCGAAAGCTGATCGACCACTGAGGTAGAAAATCGAGAGACCCGCCACTGAGGTCGAACACCGAAAGCTGATCGACCACTGAGGTCGAAAACCGAGTGACCCGCGACTGGGGTCGAATACCGAGAGACCCACCGCTGGGGTCGAACACCGTAAGCTGATCGACCACTGAGGTCGAAAATCAAGAGACCCGCCACTGGGGTCGAACACCGAAAACCGAAGTCTTGAATTTAAAAATTTGAACTTACGTCTTGTTGTTTTTCGATCACCATGTTCGAGCTCTCTTCATTTAAAACTAAACCTTTCCTACCACCTCCTCCTATCATCTCGCCCCCTCAGTTCAAAATTTAAAATTCAACCCTGCTGTTTATCCTTTCGAAAACCGAATGTCCTGACACCACACCGAAATTGAAAGCCGAATTCGACAAAACCAAATAAGGTCATCAACCTGAATAACTTGACTCCGTGAACTGCTCCGAGTGAACTCCCTCGACCTACCCGCTACGGCGGCTCTGAAGCAAGGCATGTGACCGGGGCCATCTCCGACGATTTTGTATGTGGGCAACTCCCAGCCCGATCTCTGGCAGAGTTCCTGCAACTTTGATTTGTACATTTTTCTCTATGTTGTTCCAGTGGGGGTGACGTTTGTTTGAGGGGAAATTGGGGTTTGACTGTGCTTAAATGGAAAGAGGGTTTTGCGGAGACACGGTGATTACAAACTTGCGAATTGCAAGGCACGCCTTCTGCACTCCAGTTAATATCCATCATCAGCTTCGGCTACCCCTCATTACCCAACCTCGATTTACTCAAAATCCCCAAGAGGATGCTCCCTCATAAATATATTTCCCCTTTTAATGACTCAGCACAAAAAAAAGTTATAGTTCATATAAGCAGAAATCTATGAGTATTTCCCCTTTTCTTTAGTTGATCTAACCATTAAGCCAATTTTTATTTATTTATTTATTTTTTATAAATATACATATTTTCACTAAACATATATTATACTTTAAAAAACGATATAAATCAAAGTCTAACATTACATAATATAATTCCATATTTTTTATTAAAAAGAAAAATGACGGGTCAACCGTAACAGTTAGGTTTTCTCGTACTAGAACCTATGAATAATAATTGTAATATAATATGCAGTTGCTAGAAATGATGCATTTTTTTTATAACATTACAAATCATATAGAGAATAAAAAAAAACATTGTGACAAAACAATATCACTAACCCAGGATGGGTTAGTAAAAAAAAAACATTGTGACAAAACATTGTGACAAAACATTGGTGGGATACCTTAGCCCCTTTTATAGGGGAAGTGTACCTTGTGGCCCAAGTTGGGCTTGTCCAATAACATCGTGCCACGTGTCCTAGCCATGTGTAGGCATATTCTTCAATATATTACCCTCTTATCCATTAGGATTGGTCTAGTATATAATATCCTATATCATCTAGTCCCCCCACTCTGGTCGAGTCTGAATGACTCGATCTAAGAGTGAAATTCCTCCTCGAGCTGTTTCCGTCAACCTGCACTGAGGTTGTAATTTGAATAAATCATCGACCACCAAATAGTCACCAAATCTCCAAATGAGCATCGGGACCCCAAATGAACTCCGTGAAGTGCTCCGAGTGAACTCCCTCGACCTACCCGCTACGGCGGCTCTGAAGCAAGGCATGTGACCGGGGCCATCTCCGACGGTTTTGTATGTGGGCAACTCCCAGCTCGATCTCTGGCAGAGTTCCTGCAACTTTGATTTGTACATTTTTCTCTATGTTGTTCCAGTGGGGGTGACGTTTGTTTGAGGGGAAATTGGGGTTTGACTGTGCTTAAATGGAAAGAGGGTTTTGCGGAGACACGGTGATTACGAACTTGCGAATTGCAAGGCACGCCTTCTGCACTCCAGTTAATATCCATCATCAGCTTCGGCAACCCCTCATTACCCAACCTCGATTTACTCAAAATCCCCAAGAGGATGCTCGCTCATAAATATATTTCCCCTTTTAATGACTCAGCACAAAAAAAAATTATAGTTCATATAAGCAGAAATCTATGAGTATTTCCCCTTTTCTTTAGGTGATCTAACCATTAAGCCAATTTTTATTTATTTATTTATTTTTTTATAAATATACATATTTCACTAAACATATATTATACTTTAAAAAAACGATCTAAATCAAAGTCTAACATTACATAATATAATTCCATATTTTTTATTAAAAAGAAAAATGACGGGTCAACCGTAACAGTTAGGTTTTCTCGCACTAGAACCTATGAATAATAATTGTAATATAATATGCAGTTGCTAGAAATGATGCATTTTTTTTATAACATTACAAATCATATAGAGAAAAAAAAAATATTGTGACAAAACAATATCACTAACCCCTCCTGGGTTAGTGAAAAAAAAACATTGTGACAAAACATTGCGACAAAACATTGGTGGGATACCTTAGCCCCCTTTTATAGGGGGAGTGTACCTTGTGGCCCAAGTTGGGCTTATCCAATAACATCGTGCCACGTGTCCTAGCCATGTGTAGGCATATTCTTCAATATATTCCCCTCTTATCCATTAGGATTGGTCTAGTATCTAATATCCTATATCATCTAGTCCCCCCCACTCTGGTCGAGTCTGAATGACTCGATCTAAGAGTGAAATTCCTCCTCGAGCTGTTTCCGTCAACCTGCACTGAGGTTGTAATTTGAATAAATCATCGACCACCAAATAGTCACCAAATCTCCAAATGAGCATCGGGACCCCAAATGAACTCCGTGAAGTGCTCCGAGTGAACTCCCTCGACCTACCCGCTACGGCGGCTCTGAAGCAAGGCATGTGACCGGGGCCATCTCCGACGGTTTTGTATGTGGGCAACTCCCAGCCCGATCTCTGGCAGAGTTCCTGCAACTTTGATTTGTACATTTTTCTCTATGTTGTTCCAGTGGGGGTGACGTTTGTTTGAGGGGAAATTGGGGTTTGACTGTGCTTAAATGGAAAGAGGGTTTTGCGGAGACACGGTGATTACAAACTTGCGAATTGCAAGGCACGCCTTCTGCACTCCAGTTAATATCCATCATCAGCTTCGGCTACCCCTCATTACCCAACCTCGATTTACTCAAAATCCCCAAGAGTATGCTCGCTCATAAATATATTTCTCCTTTTAATGACTCAGCACAAAAAAAAGTTATAGTTCATATAAGCAGAAATCTATGAGTATTTCCCCTTTTCTTTAGGTGATCTAACCATTAAGCCAATTTTTATTTATTTATTTATTTTTTATAAATATACATATTTTCACTAAACATATATTATACTTTAAAAAACGATATAAATCAAAGTCTAACATTACATAATATAATTTCATATTTTTTATTAAAAAGAAAAATGACGGGTCAATCGTAACAGTTAGGTTTTCTCGTACTAGAACCTATGAATAATAATTGTAATATAATATGCAGTTGCTAGAAATGATGCATTTTTTTTATAACATTACAAATCATATAGAGAAAAAAAAAAACATTGTGACGAAACAATATCACTAACCCCTCATGGGTTAGTGAAAAAAAAAACATAGGTGGGATACCTTAGCCCCCTTTTATAGGGGGAGTGTACCTTGTGGCTCAAGTTGGGCTTGTCCAATAACATCGTGCCACGTGTCCTAGCCATGTGTAGGCATATTCTTCAATATATTCCCCTCTTATCCATTAGGATTGGTCTAGTATATAATATCCTATATCATCTAGTCCCCCCCACTCTGGTCGAATCTGAATGACTCGATCTAAGAGTGAAATTCCTCCTCGAGCTGTTTCCGTCAACCTGCACTGAGGTTGTAATTTGAATAAATCATCGACCACCAAATAGTCACCAAATCTCCAAATGAGAATCGGGACCCCAAATGAACTCCGTGAAGTGCTCCGAGTGAACTCTCTCGACCTACCCGCTACGGCGGCTCTGAAGCAAGGCATGTGACCGGGGCCATCTCCGACGGTTTTGTATGTGGGCAACTCCCAGCCCGATCTCTGGCAGAGTTCCTGCAACTTTGATTTGTACATTTTTCTCTATGTTGTTCCAGTGGGGGTGACGTTTGTTTGAGGGGAAATTGGGGTTTGACTGTGCTTAAATGGAAAGAGGGTTTTGTGGAGACACGGTGATTACAAACTTGCGAATTGCAAGGCACGCCTTCTGCACTCCAGTTAATATCCATCATCAACTTCGGCAACCCCTCATTACCCAACCTCGATTTACTCAAAATCCCCAAGAGGATGCTCGCTCATAAATATATTTCCCCTTTTAATGACTCAGCACAAAAAAAAGTTATAGTTCATATAAGCAGAAATCTATGAGTATTTCCCCTTTTCTTTAGGTGATCTAACCATTAAGCCAATTTTTATTTATTTATTTATTTTTTATAAATATACATATTTTCACTAAACATATATTATATTTTAAAAAAACAATATAAATCAAAGTCTAACATTACATAATATAATTCCATATTTTTTATTAAAAAGAAAAATGACGGGTCAACCGTAACAGTTAGGTTTTTTCTCGTACTAGAACCTATGAATAATAATTGTAATATAATATGCAGTTGCTAGAAATGATGCATTTTTTATATAACATTACAAATCATATAGAGAAAAAAAAAACATTGTGTCAAAACAATATCACTAACCCCTCCTGGGTTAGTGAAAAAAAAACATTGGTGGGATATCTTAGCCCCCTTTTATAGGGGGAGTGTACCTTGTGGCCCAAGTTGGGCTTGTCCAATAACATCGTGCCACGTGTCCTAGCCATGTGTAGGCATATTCTACAATATATTCCCCTCTTATCCATTAGAATTGGTCTAGTATATAATATCCTATATCATCTAGCCCCCTCCACTCTGGTCGAGTCTGAATGACTCGATCTAAGAGTGAAATTCCTCCTCGAGCTGTTTCCGTCAACCTGCCACTGAGGTTGTAATTTGAATAAATCATCGACCACCAAATAGTCACCAAATCTCCAAATGAGCATCGGGACCCCAAATGAACTCCGTGAAGTGCTCCGAGTGAACTCCCTCGACCTACCCGCTACGACGGCTCTGAAGCAAGGCATGTGACCGGGGCCATCTCCGACGGTTTTGTATGTGGGCAACTCCCAGCCCGATCTCTAGCAGAGTTCCTGCAACTTTGATTTATACATTTTTCTCTATGTTGTTCCAGTGGGGGTGACGTTTGTTTGAGGGGAAATTGGGGTTTGACTGTGCTTAAATGGAAAGAGGGTTTTACGGAGACATGATGATTACAAACTTGCGAATTACAAGGCACGCCTTCTGCACTCCAGTTAATATCCATCATCAGCTTCGGCAACCCCTCATTACCCAACCTCGATTTACTCAAAATCCCCAAGAGGATGCTCGCTCATAAATATATTTCCCCTTTTAATGACTCAGCACAAAAAAAAAGTTATAGTTCATATAAGCAGAAATCTATGAGTATTTCCCCTTTTCTTTAGGTGATCTAACCATTAAGCCAATTTTTATTTATTTATTTATTTTTTATAAATATACATATTTTCACTAAACATATATTATACTTTAAAAAAACGATATAAATCAAAGTCTAACATTACATAATATAATTCCATATTTTTTATTAAAAAGAAAAATGACGGGTCAACTGTAACAGTTAGGTTTTCTCGTACTAGAACCTATGAATAATAATTGTAATATAATATGCAGTTGCTAGAAATGATGCATTTTTTTTATAACATTACAAATCATATAGAGAAAAAAAAAACATTGTGACAAAACAATATCACTAACCCCTCCTGGGTTAGTGAAAAAAAAAACATTGTGACAAAACATTGTGACAAAACATTGGTGGGATACCTTAGCCCCCTTTTATAGGGGGAGTGTACCTTGTGGCCCAAGTTGGGCTAGTCCAATAACATCGTGCCACGTGTCCTAGCCATGTGTAGGCATATTCTTCAATATATTCCCCTCTTATCCATTAGGATTGGTCTAGTATATAATATCCTATATCATCTAGTCCCCCCCACTCTGGTCGAGTCTGAATGACTCGATCTAAGAGTGAAATTCCTCCTCGAGCTGTTTCCGTCAACCTGCACTGAGGTTGTAATTTGAATAAATCATCGACCACCAAATAGTCACCAAATCTCCAAATGAGCATCGGGACCCCAAATGAACTCCGTAAACTGCTCCGAGTGAACTCTCTCGACCTACCCGCTACGGCGGCTCTGAAGCAAGGCATGTGACCGGGGCCATCTCCGACGGTTTTGTATGTGGGCAACTCCCAGCCCGATCTCTGGCAGAGTTCCTGCAACTTTGATTTGTACATTTTTCTCTATGTTGTTCCAGTGGGGGTGACGTTTGTTTGAGGGGAAATTGGGGTTTGACTGTGCTTAAATGGAAAGAGGGTTTTGCGGAGACACGGTGATTACAAACTTGCGAATTGCAAGGCATGCCTTCCGCACTCCAGTTAATATCCATCATCAGCTTCGGCTACCCTCATTACCCAACCTCGATTTACTCAAAATCCCCAAGAGGATGCTCGCTCATAAATATATTTCCCCTTTTAATGACTCAGCACAAAAAAAAGTTATAGTTCATATAAGCAGAAATCTATGAGTATTTCCCCTTTTCTTTAGGTGATCTAACCATTAAGCCAATTTTTATTTATTTATTTATTTTTTATAAATATACATATTTTCACTAAACATATATTATACTTTAAAAAAACTATATAAATCAAAGTCTAACATTACATAATATAATTCCATATTTTTTATTAAAAAGAAAAATGACGGATCAACCGTAACAGTTAGGTTTTCTCGTACTAGAACCTATGAATAATAATTGTAACATAATATGCAGTTGCTAGAAATGATGCATTTTTTTTATAACATTACAAATCATATAGAGAAAAAAAAAAACATTGTAACAAAACAATATCACTAACCCCTCCTGGGTTAGTGAAAAAAAAAAACATTGTGACAAAACATTGGTGGGATACCTTAGCCCCCTTTTATAGGGGGAGTGTACCTTGTGGCCCAAGTTGGGCTTGTCCAATAACATCGTGCCACGTGTCCTAGCCATGTGTAGGCATATTCTTCAATATATTCCCCTCTTATCCATTAGGATTGGTCTAGTATATAATATCCTATATCATCTAGTCCCCCCCACTCTGGTCGAGTCTGAATGACTCGATCTAAGAGTGAAATTCCTCCTCGAGCTGTTTCCCTCAACCGGCCACTGAGGTTGTAATTTGAATAAATCATCGACCACCAAATAGTCACCAAATCTCCAAATGAGCATCGGGACCCCAAATGAACACCGAATGACCACTAAGGTAAAAAATCGAAAGACCCGCCACTGGGGTCGAACACCGAAAGCTGATCGACCACTAAGTCGAAAACCGAGTGACCGGCAACTGGGGTCGAATACCGAGAGACCCACCGCTGGGGTCGAACACCGAAAGCTGGTCGACCACTGAAGTCGAAAACCGAGTGATTCGCTACTGGGGTCGAATACCGAGAGACCCACCGCTGGGGTCGAACATCAAAAGCTGATCGACCACTGAGGTCGAAAATCGAGAGACCCGCCACTGAGGTCGAACACCGAAAGCTGATCGACCACTGAGGTCGAAAACCGAGTGACCCGCGACTGGGGTCGAATACCGAGAGACCCACCGCTGGGGTCGAACACCGAAAGCTGATCGACCACTGAGGTCGAAAATCAAGAGACCCGCCACTGGGGTCGAACACCGAAAACCGAAGTCTTGAATTTAAAAATTTGAACTTACGTCTTGTTGTTTTTCGATCACCATGTTCGAGCTCTCTTCATTTAAAACTAAACCTTTCCTACCACCTCCTCCTATCATCTCGCCCCCTCAGTTCAAAATTTGAAATTCAACCCTGCTGTTTATCCTCTCGAAAATCAAATGTCCTGACACCACACCGAAATTGTAAGCCGAATTTCGACAAAACCAAATAAGGTCATCAACCTTAATAACTTGACTCCGTGAAAACTCCCTCGACCTACCCGCTACGGCGGCTCTGAAGCAAGGCATGTGACCGGGGCCATCTCCGACGGTTTTGTATGTGGGCAACTCCCAGCCCGATCTCTGGCAGAGTTCCTGCAACTTTGATTTGTACATTTTTCTCTATGTTGTTCCAGTGGGGGTGACGTTTGTTTGAGGGGAAATTGGGGTTTGACTGTGCTTAAATGGAAAGAGGGTTTTGCGGAGACACGGTGATTACAAACTTGCGAATTGCAAGGCACGCCTTCTGCACTCCAGTTAATATCCATCATCAGCTTCGGCTACCCCTCATTACCCAACCTCGATTTACTCAAAATCCCTAAGAGGATGCTCGCTCATAAATATATTTCCCCTTTTAATGACTCAGCACAAAAAAAAGTTATAGTTCATACCCCAGCGGTGGGTCTCTCGGTATTCGACCCCAGTGGTCGATCAGCTTTCGGTGTTCGACCCCAGCGGTGGGTCTCTCGGTATTCGACCCCAGTAGCGGGTCACTCGGTTTTCGACCTCAGTGGTCGACCAGCTTTCGGTGTTCGACCTCAGAGGTGGGTCTCTCGGTATTCGACCCCAGTAGTGGGTCACTCGGTTTTCGACCTCAGTGGTCGATCAGCTTTCGGTGTTCGACCCTAGTGGCGGGTCTCTCGATTTTCAACCTCAGTGGTCGATCAGCTTTCAGTGTTCGACCCCAGTGGCGGGTCTCTCGATTTTCGACCTCAGTGGTCGATCAGCTTTCGGTGTTCGACCCCAGTGGCGGGTCTTTCGGTTTTTTACCTTAGTGGTCATTCGGTGTTCATTTGGGGTCCCGATGCTCATTTGGAGATTTGGTGACTATTTGGTGGTCGATGATTTATTCAAATTACAACCTCAGTGGCAGGTTGACGGAAACAGCTCGAACAGGAATTTTACTCTTAGATCGAGTCATTCAGACTCGACCAGAGTGGGGAGGACTAGATGATATAGGATATTATATACTAGACCAGTCCTAATGGATAAGAGGGGAATATATTAAAGAATATGTCTACACATGGCTAGGACACGTGGCACGATGCTATTGGACAAGCCCAACTTGGGCCACAAGGTACACTCCCCCTATAAAAGGGGGCTAAGGTATCCCATTGACTCACTCTCTCTACATTCATAATTATACTCTTGGGATTTTGAGTGATACTGACTTGAGCGTCGGAGGCCCGACGCCGAGACCCCTCCCGGCGTTGGGTTCTTGCAGGTACGGAGGCCGTCCGAGTCGAAGGAACCCTAGTGAATTCTTATTCACTTCAAGTATAATATAAACTATTTAACTACATATGAATCTCTATTATCGAGTCCATAAAATCTAATAGACAATATAAATTTTGAACTTTCGCGATATCATGATCAATGAATTAGACAATATAAATTATTATTATTATTATTATTGATGCGATTTGAAGGGATTATAGCTATGTCAATAAAATCAGTTAGCTACTTGAAGAAAAATATTTAAAATATAATTTTTTATACTTATGTAACTTCTAAATACTATTTAATGTGGATTATATTAGTTTATTTTTGTAAAATTTATTATATGATAGAACAATTAATAAAATATAATTACACTTACTTAATATAAATTTAAATTGTAAAGGTTTTACCATAATCAACTTGGGGGAGCATGTTCCCCAGTGAAGTGTTTAGAACAGCACAAATTAAATTTTAGTGACGCAGAGGCTTATAATCATTTTTCGAATGGTGGCAGGAAGAAATTTTGCAGAGCCTGGGGACGGCTAATTTATAGTCATCCATAACTTAATGTATCGACACATATTCAACGTATTTATTGTAGAAAACGTGTCAATACATATATATAAATAATTGTGGTCATTCGTCGACTCCACAATAAGACCGTGGTGATTGATTATTCAATTGACCACACTTAAAACCTTATCACTTAATTCATGTTACATGGTGGAAGCGATTTGATTGAGAGAGTTAGGTGAAACGTTATTGGAAAAAAGCGTACGAGAAAGGACCCATTTAGAAAACAAGTAATTCAATTTAATGAGCATGTGTTTAATGCAATATGATGTGAATGTGACCATTAGGAATTTTTATTTGGTGGTGGTAAAGTAGATAGCTTTTGTTGTGGTATAATTGATTGTGATTTGCTTATTGAAGCCTTTAATTTACATCAATATTGTATAAGAATGAACACAACCGCCCACACTCAATTCTTTTGTGGTAAAGTGAAAAAGCCCGTGAACGCGAAAGAAAATAACTTTATGATACTTGCTGAAACAAGGTAATTATAAGAATGGTAGCATTTTAGACGTGTGTCGGTGGATGTAAAAAAAAAAAAAAAAGACGTAATCTTTGGACGGTGGATAATCTTCAGAAACTTCAAGCTGAGTGGCTCGGACAATAAACGTGAGGTCATCAGTCATCTCGTCTTAGCAATTAAGCGGAGGTTAAATGGCGAACTTGACAAGAGTTTGTCAGACTCGATGTGGATGCTCGGGTCAATTTTAACTTGAATGAATTCAGAGGGGGAAGAGTCATTCGGGATTCAGAAGGAGAAATGTGGTGCGGTTGGAACAAAACGTTTCCTGTCCAAGTTCTGTTATGGATGCCGAGTTATAGGCCATTCATGAAGGCATCATGTTAGTTAAAGATGAAGTTTGGACAACATTTTAGCGATTTCTAGGGGGGAAAATGCAAGCAGACTGAAGAAGAGGATTTGGGATTATTCAGACATTAAACACACTTTATTTTCTCATTTCCATTCATCATAAATATCTACACCAAACAGCCCCTCACTATTGCAGCAATCACTTGAAAGCGAGAGCCCAAAAGATTCTCCCCAAAAATTTGAACTTTTTTTTTTTTTCGAAATGATATTTTATAAACGAGAAAATAACACATAGGTACATCTAGAAACCGGCCAAAAGCTGAATCTAGTCGGAGGACATCCCATACGGGAGCCTAGGCCACAACAACAAACCCACAATAACACCAACTCCCAACAGGAGAATACACAGATCCCAACAACAGGATAAAATAACCCAAAAACAAAGAGAAACACATAAAAAACACAAACTACACACAATCACAACCTAAATACACAAAATAAATAGGCCCTTACAAAAGCACCGAGCAAACTACGACCACGACACACAAGTCGACCACCTCTACGGACCGGTTCTAGCCCCTAGTCTTAGAACCAGAAACTGCAACACACGCCTAACTGTGACTAACACCCACAAACTCGAACTCGAATCCAGGCGATCGACCCCACCCCTTAGCCAAAGAATAACTGGACAACCCCCACCACAACACAACCGCTCCGAGCTCCGCCCACACTACAGGCCCAGCTCGTCAGGCCGGCCATCCCTCGGCCCAAGCACGAGGAGCAAAAGGGACAGAGGGGATAACCCATTCTTCTCAACCCCAACCACCTCAACGAGATCGTCGGGATCGCAACCCAACTCCGCAAAACTTCCACCGCCACGCCGCTTGAGAGATTGACGACCAATGACCCAAAAAGCAACCAAGGTAGCGGCGAGGATCTTCCGGGATCAGACGAGCAAAAATATTTTTCGTAAACCACACAAATCAATAAAGCAAATGTTTTAAAAAGCTCTTCCCCAAGAAAGCAATCTTTTTTTTTTTTGCACTCCCACACACACTTGTTTGGGATGATGGTAGAGGCGATGATGAATCTTTATTCACAACGACAAACAAGCTACACCACGTACGAGACCCATTTCACGTCACGTCCCACCCGGCCCCACAACTTCGATCGGGAAGAACCTGCTGCAGCTGTACACCTGGCAGAACGACTGCAGAGCCGCCAGCATCAAAAGCACGAGCGCCGCAAGGAACGTAAGCACCCTCCACGAACCAAACACATACCTCCTCATAAACTTCCCCGCCTTCACCCTCCACCTCCCGTTATAATACCTATTCACATCCCCAATCACCTTATCCAACGACCCCACTCTCGTCAGCCTAATCGACCTGCTCATCCCGTTCCACAAGTCCGCCACTTCCCTCTCGCTCTTCAAACGGTTCACAATCACCCCACTCCGGCACAGTATCCCCGCGTCCTCCTCCGTGTCCACGATCCCATTCATCAGCTCCACGAACCTCGTCAACACCAGCGGGCCCCACACGCAGCACGCCTCGTACGCCACAAGGTTCCTCAGCACCACCCCCGAGTTCACGTCCAGCTCCACCGTGGGTATCGTGAAGGTCAGCGTCGCCTCGTCGAACCTCATTCCCGATATGCCCCCGTCGGCCGCCGCCACGAACCGAACCCCGATACCCGACAGCTCTGACACTGACGGGATCGTGATCTCGTCAAGCGATGGGGCCTTGTGGATATCGTCGTCCTTTTTCGTCTTATTACTGTATTCGTCGTCCTCCGCCCGCCATAGGCTCGCGAACATGTTCTCAACTGGATCCTTCACCATGTTCACGATCGGGATTTTGGAGATGATCGTCCACGGAAGCTTCACGACGAGCTGGACAGGACGGGAGCTCCACGTTCTCTTGATCCACGTCGCGCCTGACTGCTGCTCCCACGCGTTCCCGAACATCTCGCGCAGGTTGCTCGGCTTCGAGAAGCTGCCACCTGTCAGGGACGAGGACGAACGACCTTTGCTCTCTTCCTCCTCCCCTCCGTCGATTTCGACCGTCGACTCGGATTTTGGGTCCTCCTCCGGTTTGGGCACGACGCGGCGGTAGAGAAAATCGAGCAAATGCGGGCAGTCCTTGATTTCGACGACGGCCGCCGTTCGGAACGGCGAGATCTCGTCGGCGAGCGAGGTCAGCATGGCGGCGAGCAATTGATCGGTCGTGTCGAGAGACGATAACTGGAGCTCCAAGAGAAGTCTCAATACGAACAACGGGATTTGGTTCTCGAGCATGACTATGTCGCGGAGAATGGCGTTGTGGGCCGTCTTGTTGCCCGATAGATGAATCAAGTGGGAGAGTCTGGACGGGGTTTTGGCGAGGACCTTGCCTTTCTTGACCCCGCAGACCTGGAAGAACTCAAGGAGGAAGCACGCGTCCACAGCCATCATCCAGGCCAGAGTTTCCGGGCCGAGGTTAATGGGCCGGTGGTAGTTGGCCCGGACACGGAGATCGAGGCGAAGGAGGTGGTCGACGATGTCCTGGAGACGGATGCTCGGGAGCTCGTTCTGGTTTCGTTTGGCGGCGGCCACTTTGTATCGCTCCATGTCGTAGACTTCGGGCCGGAAGTGGTGGTATGGGCCGATGGCGACTTGTTGTGGGACGTACGAGTCCGGGCTGCACTGCATCAGGGGTCTTGGGACGCTGAATATAGTGATGGGGATGCGGGCCGAGTTTTCAGACTCGAGCTCTTCGTCTAGAGTGTGTTGGATGTGTTTGACCCACTGATGCTCGTCGAAGTTCGAGTTCAAGCTTGTTAGCAAGCTTGGTTCGAAAAACGACATGATCGATCGATCGTCTAGCGTTTTATTTATTTATTTATTTGTACAGGAAAATGGAGAAACTGTCTGCTCTTTCTGCAATTCTCAGATGCAATATATAAGCTTTGCTCAGACTTTGCTTGAAGAAATAGGGAAGTGATAAAGAAATAATAAAATGACATGTTTTACACAAGGTTTAACTTTATTGAATATTGAAGAATAAATATTTTAATGTGAGTGAATTCTGGCAGTCTTCGTTCTTATCATGTTGGCTGCATACATACGTTTAGATGGAGGCAGACAACATGAAATCATGACCAATATATTAATTTCTCCAATTGTTTGTATTATGGAGAGTTGGGTCAGATGGAATATTTTAAATGAAAATAAAGATACTATATCAAAAGAATCTACCATTTTTGACATTGCAGGGATAATAAGGTTGGTCAGCCCAGTATATATGGACCCCTTAACTCGTGTATATTATGAGTAAAAACACTAAATTAGTGAAAATAAAAAATACACAGCGTGCCCCTTGAAAATAAATATTGATTTTGGAACGTGAAAGAAAAACAAAGACAAGCTGGCTGTTACAGTGCTGACTAATCCTTACCTAATCCTAATCAAATATGACGAGTTACAACGAGTATATTTTGTATAAAATCTACTGCAACCTTTAATGAAGAATGTCATTTAGGGTGTTTTATCTATATATATGTAAATGTTTGGCCAAATATCACTATCTCTGACCCACTTGGACAACTTGTATAAGTATATGCATTTCGGGCTTTCCAAAAGTAAACTATTGTTACGATATATTCTTTGCATATTTTTATGTTGTATTGTTATTTTACAAAATTCAATTCATTTAACGAGTTTGTTTTTGTTGGACTAACATATAAAATCTTTATAGGATAAGGATAGATAAAAATAAAAATGTAATGAAGCCCAAGTGAGGAGTCATAGTAAAGGGCGTGATCTTAATACTTAAAGAATAAGTTGTGTAACCCTTAAGATTAGGTATTTTTTAGACGTGGTTGATATTAAAAAAACATATCCATCATCTTTGTTTTTATTTGAGAACTAAAAAATTGTTCTGTTCTTCAAGAGTTGAAGATCTTTGTTGATGTTTATGTTTTAGATACTAGCATTAGTAATTAGACAGCAGTTGATAGTTCAAGCTATTCTGAAATAGAAACTTTGTTTGGACTTTCTTTTTCATTTTTAAATGAAGTAATTAATGAAGTGCAGTGTTAAACCAGCTCTTGCAGACTGTGGACATAGCTGGCACGTAAAATATTGATTGCTAGCATGGTAATAATTTGATCGCATAACAATTAGAGAGATCGATTGTAAATAAACAAATGCCACTGGACAACTAGTGACGCCAATAAACTGCTAAGGTTCATAATCAACGACAAATAATTGGTCACAATTTCAGCCAAAAGATTCAGTTTCTGATTATTCAAGCCACGATGAGAAGAATACGTAGCTTCCAGCGAGAAGAAATGTACATTGAATAAATTTAAAAACGTAGGCATGCTACGACAAACGGGTTACAATTGGGTAATTGATCAATATTGTGCTGATTGTCATACTTTGAGAACAAAGCTTTTTTTAGATCAATTGTCATATTTTTCCAAAAACTACAAAAAGCAGTTATCAACATATTACGGAAAAAGAAGTATGTCACACGAACTCACAGCAGTTTTATGATTCAAAATAAAAATCAAATAAATGCTATGAGAATAAATTTAGGTCATACCTCAAGTCCCGCCATTCGACTTATGAAGAAGAAATTTTCCCTATCCCGTGAATTGAATCAATGTTAGCAAACTTGTTAGAGATCAATGAGTTAGTAGATGTTATTTGAGTTGAGCATTGTTTATCTCTCATGGTTCAGCTGAGCATGACCACTTTCATATATATTCTTTAGCAACACTCTCTGTCGATCATCACCTCCATTTAGAGCAAATATTGATCTATGCACTGTAAACCCGGCCCCTGGATAAAAAAGAAAGTATTGTAACCAAGAGAATTTACAGTCTACCTCAACTCTAGGTGAGTTAACCAACTATAATGTGCAATAACACTGGATTTCAAATTCTTCAGGCATTATCAGATGATAGAAGCATTTTCAAAGGCATATAATTAGGGAGACCTGGGAGGGTTGGCCAAGATTACCCTAAAGAGTTAGGACATTCACCAGTGAAAAAAACTACAAAAGCCAATATGCTTGAGTTTGGTTTCATAAAATAAACTTTTGCCCAAGCGAATAATGGACGTATTTAAATTATCCATAGTAGCAAATATTGTAATATAAATCCTCAAGACGAAAACTTTGGCCAGTCTTAGTTTTCTGGGATATTGTCGAAATATACCATAATATTACAGTTCTCATTAGCTCCATTGACGACATTAGGTACAAACTGTAAATGTGAATGTACCTTAAGGGTGGTCGTACTGCATAGCATTGTAGAAAATATAAAAACACAAAAGTTGTAATAACAAAATATCTCAAAACAGTTGAAAATCTTATGCTACAGCAGATGATAGATTTTGCAAAACTTCAAAACAAATATTTTCCCAGATTATGTTATTTCTTCTCTTTTCTTTTGATTAGAAACAAAAAACATATGCCCAAGGCAAATATCCAATAAATCTGTCAATAAATGCAGCAAATGTTAGTCAGAAAGCAGCGCCGTACAAACAAGCATATTAGTCACACTTACCCAGCACATGTTACGCATTAAGTTTCCACAGCATTCATTGCAACCATAACTTTTAAGTTTAATGTCCGAATTTGAGAGCAAGATTTCGAGTCTTTGTCAGCCATATAAACCAAGATACAAAAATCATCCATCTTCACATCTCTCACCATCCACATTAGCCCGTAACTCAGCTCTCGGCTTAGCCGAAAGCCCTTTCGCCAACATTTCATCCTCATATTTACGTGCCGTATCCACCAAACCTTTCTGCACCAAAGCATCAATCAAAGCATTATACGCAAACTCATCTGGGCCCAGCCCATGCTCTTCCATTTTCTTCCACATGAGTAAAACGGGCCTCAGGAAGCCCCACCTCCCAAACTTCCTCATGAGCATCACATAAGTGTCCATCCTCGGGCGGACCCCACTCTCCAGCATCCCATCAAACAGTTTCAAAATCTCTCTGGGCTTTTCAAGGCTAGTGAAAAAGCAATGATAGGTGACTATATTCGGCTCACAACCCTTTTTGATCATTAGATCAAACACCTTATGTGCCTCTCTATACCTCCCGCTATCACACAAGAGCTTAATAATCGTGTTGAATGTTACAACGTTTGGCTGGCAGCCTAATTCAATCATCTCTTTGTAAAGCCTCATTGACGCATCAACACCCTCGTAAAGCCCGAGTGCCCGTATTACCGTGTTGTATGCCACCACGTCTAATTGGATACCCTTTTTCTTCATCTCCTTGTACAATTTCACGGCCTTCCAAGGTTTTCTGCACTTACACTGAATGTCCATGTATATCGAGTATGAATACAAGTCCTTCTTCACATCCTTCTTATCCATCTCGTCCCAAAACTCCCTGCATTTTCTCCACCACTCCATTTTAAACCAGCCACGCAAAATCATATTGTATATTTTCGTACTTTCTACATTGAAATTCAAGATATCAAAACCGTATTCGTCAGCCCAATTTTTCTTAAAGCACAAATCTTCAGCTTCAATCACGTGCCTGTATTCGCACAGAGCATCGATCAGGTTTGAGAACGATGTTTCGTCCCTCAAATTGTACTCATCCAGTTTGCAGAAAGCATCAATGGCTTCTTTAACAAGGTGGGCAGATGCATAGCGCTTGAACAACACGCGGAAAGTCGTGTGATCAGGTGAAGAATGCGGATTACTTCTCGTTTTCTCGATTAGATTCCAGGCGGCATCGAATTCGAAGAACTTACCGAGAATGTCGATCATACGATTGAGCGTCTGAGTGGTGTGCCGAAACCCGCACTGGGTCTCGGCCCAGTTGAAGAACTCCAATGCCAGCTTCCAGTCATTGGCGTAGCAATTGAGCGTTTCAATAACTGCAGCGGGTTGTAAATCCGGGTAATCGGAGTGGGTCGGGTTCTGAATGGCCACGAGGTTGGGTTTCGGATGGTTTGGATTGGGAATTGACGCGGGCTTGGGAAGAAATCGAGGGCTTCTGTCAGTGGTGGTATTGTGAAAGAGAAGAATTTGAAGGTGAAGGGAAATGATAGATTGGCGCGAGCGGAGATAGTGTAATTTGGAGGCGAATGAAGAAAGCATGATTTTTTGGTGAATAATTTGATGAACTAGAGGGTTTGCAGGCAGATTCACGTCGTCGTCTTCAACCTCTCCACTCTCCAGCGAGCTTCAGCTTTCGACTTTGCATTTTTCACCCTGTATTTTACGAAATGGCAGGTTGCACCCAAATTATTTTGGAAAAATTGCCCCAAACATGTATTTTGTTAAATGTGCGCGTTATCAATTCGTGTTTTAAGAAATGCATATTACCTCTTCGTGTTTTATAGTCGACGGCTCACACTCCGTTAAATATTTTCTAGACTGCCTGTTATGTCCCCTCATTTGAATCGTCTCGCACCCACTCTGGTACAGAAAAGAAACCCCAAATTACGAAGAGCACTCTATCACATCCGAAATTCATTACCCAAATTTCAAACAAAATGTACTAAATCGAAATGAATTTTTCAATCTTAGATCGATGAGGGCTTCCAAATAGCTTTCAATATGTCGAAGAAGAATCGATGAACTATTTACAGTCCGCGACAAATTAGGTTTCCCGTTTATTGATCTCAATTAAGGTATTTTCACAATTACTTTCATTATTTACAATGTCTATTTATAGTTACACCACAAACATACACTAAAAACAAACACGTTTAATGAAATTCTTCAGTTCGCGAGTCTCAAAGTTTCGCAGAGAGTGACATTATTTGGTGCTGGCAGGGTGCTTTCGGGGCTTGCGAAATTAGTTTCGCTGAGAGTGTGGGAGTGGAGTAGTGCAGGCACGACGCTTTCGCGGGTCGCCAAAAGGAGTTCGCAGCGAGTGCCGCCCCTTGCCTTCTCGCACGCGATTTCGCAGCTCGCCAAAGGACGCTCGCAGCGAGTACGGGGTTAGTTGGGGCTTCGCGATCTTGACTCGAAAATGGCTTGAGACGGCTCGGCAACAATTCGCATGGCTCTGGCAATAGTTCGGATGGCTCAAAAATGTCTCGAAAATGGCTCGTCTTCCCAAACTCGAATCATGTGGACCTAATCAACACCAAAAAGACAAGAAAAAATACGGCAAAAACACAAAACACATAACAAACACAAAATTACACGAAATACGATAAAATGGACTGGTCGACACTAAACGAATCTAAAACGGCTCAACTAAGGCACGAAAAAACACACGAAAATAAGCACAAAAAACACGTAGATTTAAGCCAAACAAAAAACCACATTTGTTGTTCGGACAATTGGAAAATAGCTTTCTGACAGCTATTCTTCCTCCTTCCCCTTTAGGCTTAGGTACCAACAACCCTGATTTGAACAAACATAGTTGGTAAATTTGAATGATAAGATATTCTACAAAAAATTTAGAAAATTACGGGATAATAAATATACATATATATATATATATATACTGTGTAGTCAAAATTTGATGTTTCAAATTTAAAAGTCAAATAAGTAATTATTCATAACTTACGAGTCAACATTAACTTGGACATAAATAGAATAGTTAATTACCTATAGTTTAATTAATTATTCAACTACTTCAATTTTTTATTGGATAGCTTATACAAAAATAAACTTATTTTAATTGTGGAAACAATATAAGTTTTATAATTATACTAATTGTCCACATATATTTTTAAATATATGATAAAATTTTACCAAATAATTAATTTATGGAATAGTCAAATCGAATTTATGAGTAAAATTTTTTAAAATGACACTTATTTTGAAATGAATATAATGTAATTTATTATCAGTTACGTACACCGTACATGTTGCATACTAATTTTAAATACATGTTTTATGTAATTTTGCACCATTTAAATTTCATATATTATTTTCAACAATTTAATATAAATATTGTATTACATATTGATTCCATATTTTAATTTATAGATATTATTTAATGAGCATTTTTAGTTTATAAATATTAATAAATATCTCTTACCCGTGCATCGCACGGAATTTGTATTAGTTAAATAGTCAATACCTATAAAAATAAAAAATATTTAAATAAACTTTATATTATTAGTGACTTGATGTATTGTATCATAGAATTGACATATTATCTTAAATAATTTAATAATATTTAAATAATAATTTATAGTATATCTCGTGCATCACACAAGTATCAACGTTAAATAAAAGTAAATGAGAAACATGTAAGATCTATAAAAAAAAAAAGAGGTTTATTATTATCAGAGGTTCGTGGGAGTAAAAATAAAATTTGGGATAATATAACATATTAAGGAACTAAAAAATTAGGTTTATGGAGATTGTTTGTTAAAGATGTTCTAAATGAGCTTCGGACTAGAGTCGAGCTATGAGAGCCCGGACTCAAAACCGATCTCTATGCTATCTCACTAGTTAAATAACTAATATCGTCTAAGATAATTAGTCTGAATATGGTTAAAAAATTTGTGGCCCTATTTTCCAAATTATTATCATTTTAATATACCGTTTAGAAAAAAAATAATTGAAAATTAAAGTGCATTATTATATATTTATATTATAAATTTTTTATACATATATTTCTTAACATACTTCTCATATACATTATACTATTATTTAATTAATTAGTTCTATCTCAATTGAAATCTTGCGCCCTTGGAAGGGAAAATTCGATGCATACCTATGTGGGCACTGCTTACAGGGGAGTTTTTTTNACAAAGGGAGGCCGGAGCCTAATGGAAGCTAAGATAGAACGCGACCGGGATAAGTCATCCCAATAATATCGTGTTCAAAGCCACCTGCCTAAGGACGGCAGAGGGACGGGAAGATGGTGTACCCCTAAGGGTTCGGATACCGCTAAAGAAGCCAGGTGATCCGCAGTGAAATTCGCTTCTCAAAACACATGATCTAATACCACCGACCATTCACGATCTCGTAGTTCCCGTATGGCTCGAACAAGGCTATCATGGATCCCACCCACGTCCTCTCGTCCCATCACCATAGTAATCACGCTACTATTGTCAACCTCTGCCCCCACCTTTCGGGCGCCCAAAGCCCATGCCAGATATAGCCCATGAAAGAGACCCCACAGTTCAGCTCCGGTAATGGAGCAAATGCCGGCATTCATCATAAATCCTCCGAGCCAGCGGCCCTGGGAATCGCGAACCAACCCTTCTGCACATCCACAACCCGTATGGGAAGAAAACGCTCCACCCGTATTAACCTTCACCCAGTCCAGCTGCGGCAATGACCAATGAATCAGGCGAGTTTCGTACTGTCAGGCTAGAGAGCCAAACTTCGCAAGACCGGCGGTCGCTGCTAGACACCCCACCACTCGACGCCTGATATCACACACCTTAGCATCCACTCGCCATGACAGTGCAGAGAAGATAGTCGCATTCCGCCAAGACCAAATCTGCCAACACGCAATAGAAAAGGTCACTGGCCAGTCAGTGTCTGAAATATCCACCGCTGGTGTCAAATTGAACCACAACCAGTCAGCAAGGTCTAACGCCAAGAAACGCGCACGGACAGGAGCTGGCACCAAATGAATCCAAACGAGGCGAGCCGCGGCGCAATCACAAAGAGCATGTAGAGTGGACTCTGCCGCACCACACATTGCACAGTCCACGGAGTCGACCAAATGCCGTCGACGGCATTCCACATTGGTAGTAAGCGGTCACGAGCAACAAGCCAGAGGAAATGACGAAGTCGCTGGGGATTGGGGTACCAGTGCTCGCCACACTAGCTACCACAAAGACCGTACCGCAAGAGGTTCGTGACAGGCTAAGAGGTTGCCTACGTGGGATTTTTTACCATTGATTTCACACACACCTATGTGGGTGTTTGTGTGTTTATGTGTATATCAATGATAAAAAAAACTCATGTGTGCAATGTCTACATGGGTAGCATCGAATCTTCCGGGAGATGGGGACTCTTGGGAAAAAAGACTATCCATTCATTTTATATATTGGTTTTTTAATTGTATATGTATTTTCAATCGAAAAAAATAAAAATCCACTCTTTATATAATTTCAAAACGTGTTGAACTTAAATGGCTGACTCCCATGTTTCGGAATCTTACTTGGCAATATTTTATGTTTCGTCTTTTGATTCGGATAAAATTAATATATTATATTTCCAAATAAATAGGTTCTATGTTGAATACCATAATTAATTATACGTAATTGGACACTAAGATTTCAAGTGTTGTAGAGTGAATACAATTCTTAAATATCCAAAATAACTAATAAATAATTTTATACGGAGTGTTATTTTTTCAATTTAGCTTAATACATGGGTGTTTCAGTGTAGATATTATTAAAAATATTTAGTATGATCTATGTTATAAGATACCATAATATATATATATATATATATATTATATAGCTTTTGAAAGAAGGACGAGGTTGTTTATATACTGCGAGTGTTCACACTAGGGGCGGTACCGTAATTACTTGGTTTGTTGCGTTCACACTTATAGAGTTGGTTAATTACGGTACCGC